GTAAATTAATAGTATTACTGAATAAGAATATCTTACTATTATTAGATATCTTAAGATTAAATACTTATACTAATTTCTTAATATATAAGATATTTTTAACAGCAGAGTTAAATGTACAGTATTCTGTAATAATAAATAAAAATATAATAATATTTTATTTAATAAATATCTAGATAATTAGACTACCTGTATAAAAAATAATATATTTTTTAGTAAATTTATTATTTTTATAGTCAGTATATACAGTATTTATATAAACTTTAATATCTTTAATATAGTCTATAACCAGGATAATACCATAGATAATAAAGTTATATAGATATTTATATATAATTTTTAAGATTTTTATATCTGCTGTAGTGGTCTTATTTATATACTTTTATAAATAAAAAATAATATAATATAAATCAGAATATATTTTAGTAATTAATTAATTTAAACAATTAACTAGTCTTTGATATTTATTAATATTAATATTATTTATAATTATTTTTAAGTAATCTGCTTTCTTATAAATAAAAATTATTAAAATAATAATATTAATATAAGATTATAAGCCTGCTACAGCAAGACACTCTTTTATATAAATAAATTATAATAATAAGATTATATTTATTTAATAATTATATAAAATATTATATCTGAGCAGGATCTTTAGTTTATCTAATTTTTTAAAATTAAATATTTTATTAAAATAATATTTTATTAATATCAGATTCTTCTGCTTAGGGCCAGTGATAATAAAGTTATTAATATAAATTATAAGCTAGATCTCTCTATTTCTATAGATACAGGGATTTTCTGGTAGAGGTTTAAATCTAATTTTTTATAATTTATTATTAAATATATAATACCAGAGATAGGCTGCTTGGTAAAATCTGTATAAAATCTTTTTTAAAAAATATATTTATTTAAATAGTCCCTCATGGTATCTTATTAACTGCTTTATATAAATATACTTTTTTAGTTAAAATATATAAATAAACAGATATAATATTATATTATTTCTAGTAGAGATACTTTACTACTATATTTATTATAAATATTTTAAGTATAATTTTACTGGCTACAGAAGTAAAGAACTTATTATAATTAATATCTAGTATCTAGTAATTACTATAAATAATCTAGTAAGTATAAATTATATGTCGAAGCACTAACCGCTAGACCAAAAATGATATATCGCGTGGTTCTAGCCAGGCAATAGAGAGATATGTGTCCCAACACGGCCCCCTCGAACCAGAGCTATCATAGCTCCACATTCTGGTTTAGGCACCTTCTCGAACTGGATAGACTGCATGGGAAAAGCCAGGTTGACCATGCCTGGTCTCAAATCCGCAACTTCCAGATCTGGTTAAGGCATCACGTGTTGGTAAGAGCTGACCGGGCTCATAACCTGTCGAAGTACTAACCGCTAGACCAAAAACAATATATCGCGTGGTTCTAGCCAGGCGACGGAGAGATATGTGTCCCAACATTATATAATAATATTTTTAATATTAACTTTTAGATTAAATATTTATTTATCTAGGATTATTCTAGCACTAGTAGACTGATTAATAATTTTATAGATTTTTATTAATTTAAATATATTAATTTATATAGTTATGGCTGCTCTCCAGTATAGAATAAGCAAAGATATAATTATTTTAGTATAGATATTTAATATAGTAATTATATATTATTTTAATATAAGTAAAATAAGTAGGTTAGATTTCTACTTTAATATAATTATTTATTTATTTCTAATCTACATAGGATCTTTATTTTTTATAGTATATTAGGATTATCTCAGAATATTAGTAATAGTAATATCAAGATACTCAGATTCAGTGAGGCAGTAATCTTGATAAATATATTTTATTAATATTTTATATTTTATAAAATTCTTAATTAAGGGGATTAGAGCAGTAGAAATATTTCTGATAATATTTTTTATAGATTTAATAGAGATAGATAAGGTCTGTATTCTTTTATATATAAATTTATTAATAATATTATCCAGGATAAAAAGAGCCTTGGTGATATTAATCTTTGTATTATTTAATTAATATAGAAAGATATTAATAAAGTTAAGTAAGATATCTAATCCTGATATAATTAAATTTTTAAAAATAGATATTTTAGTTATTTTACCAGGATCTTCATGATTATCTTTATATATATAATCTTTATAAAAGATAATATTTCTTAATTTTTTGATTTTATCTGAGACAGGATACTATACTAGATATATATGATATTATTACTGTTAAAACTAATAAAATAGCTAGTTTTTATATAAAATAATATCTTCCTGGAGATAATATAGTCTTTTTTAAATATATATTAATAGCAGCAGTATTTAAATATATATAGAAAGTCTAGGAAGATATTAAGATTAGAAAGATTATAATATAATTTATATAGTTAAATAAGTGCTTGTTTAGCTTTATTTTCTGCAGGAATTAATTAATTTAAGATCTGCGCTGCTAGATATATAATATATAATTAAAGATAAAGAGATAAGTCAAAGTTAAATATAATAATTCTGTTTATTTAATTGAGCAAGTCTTTATATTATTTAAAAAAACTATTTGTTTCAGATATTCATAATAATAATATAATAACTTAAATATCTTAATCTTCATGGTTTATTTATTTTTTGAATTTGTTAAATTTACAGCTTTTATCTAGATACCAGTAAGTAATATATCTACTGACTATATTTTTATATTTATTATTTATTTAAATCAGTTTTATAAAGATATTATTCTTCTGTTTTAGTATAATAATATATATTAAATAAATAGTATTATTAATTATAATTATGAAGTATTAGAATTTTTTATAATTTATTAAGATTATTTTCTGCATATCTGCATGCTACAGTTAGATAAGATTAATAATTTATAAAATTAGATATCTTAATATTAGATACTTTACTTTATCTAGAAAACATATCTTACAGTAAAGATTATTTTTATATTTAAATTTAATTTATTAATTTTTTATAGCAGAAATAACTCTGTGGAATCTTGTATATCTATAATATTAGTATAATAAAAAGAAATTTACTGCAGTGAAGGCTATTTCTGTATTCTCTGTATATATAAAAAATATATTTTTATATATCTACAGATAGCTGATTATTTTATTATTCTACTTCTTATATAAAATCACATTTTTTATAATAATATATATTCTGAAGTTCTTGCACAGGCAGTCTACTGAAAGAAATCTGTAAATAAAGTCTGGCTAGTAATATACTTTAATTTTTAATTTAATACTTTTATTATTTATAGATAAAAACAGGGATTAATAATTTATTAATTTTATAATACTAATACTGCCATCAGAAATGCTGTATTTATAAAAATTATAGTTATTTAAATCCTGGTAATTATTTAGTAAAATATAATTAGGAATCAGGTACTATAAGCTGCTAGTATTATAGATTTAATATAAAGATTTATTAATAATAATTTTAATTATTAGATTATTAAAATTTAAAATATATAAATTTTTATTATCTAAATCTATCTTATATAAGATAATATACTGAACAGGTATTTTAATAATTTATTTTATAAATAATACTGTTATAACTACTTTGGAATTATTCTTTTCTTTATTAATTTTTTTTTAAAAAACTAGATATTTTTTATATAAGGAATCCACCCTGCCAGATATAAGATTAGATTAATATATTAATATTTTAATAAACTATGGTTCTTTGATCTGCAGTATATATAGATATTATTAATATATTCTAGTTTTATATTATATATCTTTATAGTATAGTCTTCAGGGAGAATATCTTTTTCTGGATAGATAATTATTTTTTATTATTTTTTAATAATATCAGATTTATTTAATAAATTTTTATTTTTATTTCTGCTGATAACAGCAGTATTAATTTTATTTAATTTATATTTTTTATTTTTTTTAATAATACTTCTGTAAAATTTTTTAAATTATACTTTAGTATAAGTCTTCTCTATATTTTCTGGGATTATATATTTTTATATTAATATTTAAATAAAGAAGTCTGTCTATAGTTTATATAATAATTTAAGATTTATTAAATAAAATAATAATAAATATTCTAGCTCGCTCGCAAGGTTGTAGATATTACTGAAATTATTAATAAATTAATATATAATAGAATAATCAGAATATATAATTCTTATTAATCTGATAATAATAATTTAATATTTTATTATATTATGACCTAGTATGATACTTCTCATGACTTTATATATATTATTAATATAATTCTTTTTTTTTTAGATTTCCTGAATTTTTTTTATTTCTTTTAACAGCTGGCCAGCCAGCCAGGACTGTATAATTTATAAATAATTATATTATTCTTTATAATTTTTATGGTTTTTATTTAGTTTTAAAAGTTTTAGATTAATTAGATTTTTTAATTTAATATTCTTCAGTATCTGTTTCAGTTTAAAATCTTAATTATAGAAATTAGAGCAGTTATATAGTAGAAAAAGTAATTTTAATATAATTTTAATAATAATTCTAAATAATTAATCTGCCTGTATAATTATTTTTTTAATCTCTTTATTATATAATAAATCTTTAATATTAATATTATTTTCTATTTAAAATACTATCTTAGCTAATTAGGTGGCTGGTAGCCTGTAAAAAAAGTGATTTAGTATTATATAATATAATTTTAATATTACTAAGACTAGTATATTTCTATTTACTATTACTATAGTAGCTGTAGATTCTCTGTTTTATTTAGTATTAATAATCTTGTTTAACAGTTTTGAATAGCTTTATAGTAGAAAGGGCTGGACTTATAATTTATTAGAATATCTATTTATAAGAAGCAAAGAAAGAGTAAAGAGTTGTATATATTATATTTCTATCTAGGGATTACACAGCGAGGATAGAAGTAGGGGTTGTTTAGTATGTAGGGGTCACGTGACCAAGGCTACTAGTATTACTGCTTCAACAATTTACATATTGTATATAATGTCAAAGAAAATCCACTGATAACGCTCTTCATGCTGCTCCAACGGCAAACGACTGCATCGGGCCGATGCGGGTCCAGGGTCATCCTTATCAACTCCAGTCAGCACCAACAATTGACATGTCTCTCTCCAGGTCGGCTAGAACCGCCTTTTGGCAAAACACGCGTGCTATCGTGATTGTAGCGCAATTGTTGCCTAGCTGTTGCTAAAACCTGAACCCCAGAATCTCCCTCTCCTGCTTTCTCTTTTTCTCCCTTCGAAACGATACTCCACACCCCACGCCCAGATGCGTTTTCTCAGCAGTGCAGCCCTATTCGGCCTGGCATATGCCTCCACCCAGGCCGTACTCCAGCCAGAGGAGCCGTCCGACTTCCGCACATTCCACAGCCCATATTCCCCGCATCACTCAATCCGCATCCGCCAGCAGAATGAATCGCTCTGCGCTGCCCATTCCGCCCAGTACACCGGCTGGCTCGACATTGGCCATAAGCATCTCTTCTTCTGGTACTTCGAGAGCCAGAATGACCCTGCCAATGATCCCCTGACTCTGTGGATGACGGGCGGTCCAGGCGGTTCCAGCATGATCGGTCTATTCGAAGAAGTCGGGCCATGTCTGATCAACGAGTACGGCAATGGCACTTATTACAATCCCTGGGGATGGTCGCGGAACTCGTCTCTACTCTTTGTCGATCAGCCAGTCGATGTGGGCTTTTCGTACGTTGATGAAGGCGAAGAACTGCCAGGCGACTCGCATCAAGCTGCAATTGACATGCATCGGTTCTTGCAGTTGTTTGTTTCCAAGGTGTTTCCGCATTTGCAGTCCCTTCCCTTTCATCTTTCGGGGGAGTCGTATGCCGTGAGTGTCTTCTCCAGGTTATCTTAGCAAAGACTAATAGTATATATAGGGTCACTATGTCCCTTACCTCGGCAGCCAAATCGTTCAACAGAATAAGATCTATCCCAATGAGCCCCAGGTCCTTCTGCACTCATGCCTCGTAGGTAACGGCTACTATTCGCCTCGCGACACTGCCTACGGCTACTGGGAAACACTCTGCACCACTAACCCTGGCGTACCCGAACCGGTCTTCAACAAGACCAGATGCGACATCATGGCTGCCAACATGCCGCGATGTATGGAGGTCTTCGACGTATGCAACCGGAACCCCGATCCAGCCATTTGTCATGCTGCGTCCGAAGTATGCTACGAGGGCATAATCGGTTGGTATGATGACGAGTCTGGGAAGGGTGGTCGGAATCGATTTGACAGTGAGCATTCACCCATCCCGGTCATATCCTATCAGCGAAGCGATCGTATTCACTAATATACAACAGTAACCGCACCCTGCGCCATTGACAACATCTGCTACATCGAAGCGGTTCGTACCGAGCAATACCTGAACACACCCGCAGCTTGGGCCGCTTTATCGCCACCTAAGGAAATCAAAGAATACAAGGTCACCTCCGACAATGTGCCGCGCGCATTCGATCGCACTTCGGACGAGATGACGCCTGCATCGGAGCAGATTGCTTTTCTGCTTGCGAATCAGGTACATTTCCTCGCATATCAGGGAAACCTGGATCTGGCGTGTAATACGGCGGGGAATTTGCGCTGGGCGCATTCTCTGCCGTGGAGGGGTCAGGTCGAATTTACCTCCAAGCCACTGCAGTCGTGGAGTTCGGTGGATGTGGTATCTGGAAAGAGTGGGGTGGCTGGAACGACCAAGGAGGTGAGGGTGAAGGTTAGTGAGAGTACGGAAAAGGAGTCGAGGTTTGCGCTGGTTACAGTTGATGGAGCAGGACATTTTGTGAGTACTCTCTTCGCTTTGTGGGACGCAGGTAAGCGGCTGCTAATGATGGTACTTAATGAATACAGCTTCCCCAAGACAGACCTGATGTGGCGTTGGATATGATGGTGCGGTGGATCTCTGGCGCATCGTTTACTGAGTGATGCAGCATTCGGCTTTGAGGCCTAGAATATAGCAAAGCGCCAGCCTTCTTTCCTGTCCACCGGAGTACTACGTAACTAAAACAAACCGCACGAGCTTAAAGTCGCGCGTATTTCTAACCAGCTCCCTCCGCGTGATTTGAAACCACAATCTATACGCTAGTCTCAGACTACTTATTATAGCCATAGCAGAACCCGATCACATTTGTCATACCACTCTAATGAATTGTATGATGTAAGCAAGTCCCTATGATTAACTAACAACTCGAGAAGTACCAAAGTTAGCATCCATTTTCGGCCCCTCCTGACTCAACATTTCTTTTTCTTCATTGTCCAGTCAGAGCTTGCCACGCACCCTGCCTCATTATGGATTCTGCAAGTGCTGACCCAGCCTGGTGGCAGTGTTTTCTGCAGGGCAAGGTCATCTCGTTGGTTGCGTATAATCGATGAGTCCACGAGTCCGTTGATCTCTCACTACTTGAATTGGAGACTGATGTCATATCTGACCAGTCGAGTACCTGGTTTCAGAGGTGGTCGGCATATGATATGTTCTCTCGCAGCTGTAATATCACAAGCACAATTGCCGAGTGGCTGATTCCACAACATAGGCAAAACAGAGAGCGCGGGAGACATAATCGAGCGACTTTAATAACCGGGGCTGAAATATATGGCTAGTCCTTGCTTAAGATATAAGCAACGCACGCATAACAACTAATTTTCGTTTTCGAAATAGCCTTTGTCATCTTTATAATATAGTAAGTCTTGGGCATGTAACTGAGCCAATTATGTGGAGTCGATTAGGAATAAGGACGCGCATCTCGTATTAAAAAGCGTATATGTGATTAGCCGCTGAAGAAAGACAGAGAGGCCTAGCTCGGGCTCTGCAGCATGCGTCCCCGTTAGCATCGATCGTGGCCCCGATCACCATCATATTATTCCGCTAAGAACATGCATCACCTGCCCAGGTCATCGATGGGGAATTTTCTCCACCTGAACATCGGTCATATCCGATCGCCCACCTTCATGATTAACGGGACGAACTTAGTTGTCAACGGCGAAACAAATACGGAATAAGCCTATCGCATAAGCTGTAATGTCTCCAAAATAGCTCGGGCAAAGTGTGTTGGTATTTAGGCAACCCCGTGTAAATGGTGAGGCCGGTAGGGTAAGGCTGAGCTAACACTGCAATATCCCTACTCATGCTACCCTTACCGATCGCTGATGCAGGTGACGCTTGTGGCGATTTGTCAGGGGCTGCTGTGTAGCATGAAAACAAAGCAAACCAAATTTAATACTTTAAGCTACTACATATAACCTGGAAGCCGTACCTGGGTTAGGTCAACACTTTGACCCCTCCGACGCGATCTTACTATGTCTTCGTTTCTCATTAAACATAGCCCTTATTCACGATGCTAAATGACTTCAAGATAGCCGCGAACATTCTGTTCCGATTTCTCAAAGCAGTCTACGATCTTATTTCATTTGGTGTCTACATTGTTCAACTCTCCATTCGTGACTTGATATCGACTGTGCGTAACAAATGGCCACCCTCATTACCAGAAGATTTGAACTTATTTTTAGTTAAATAGGTCACGAATCCCTTCCTTCCCAATAGTCCAGTCGGGAATGCTATACCCCGTGGATACCCAGGCCATGGAGGGGTTTGGCCAGAGTACACGGCCCCTAAGCGGGGAGAAGATTCCCGCTCGCCTTGTCCAGGGTAATCGTTAATCCCCCATATCTTTCACATATACTCGCTGACCTTAATTTTTGCATAGACTTAACGCTTTAGCTAATCACGGTATGTCAGCCCGCTTTACTGATATAACCAGTCTTTACTGAGTAACATAACAAAGGGATCCTGCCAAACAATGGGAAACGTATTACCTACGCACAATTATCGCATGCGATCCAACATGCATACAACCCTGCACCAACTCTAGCAAGTCAGCTTACCTCTGCAGTTAAGCAGCTGGACCAAGGTCGAGGCTGGATTGATCTCCACGATCTCAACGTCTTGAACGTACGTATACATGAGAATTCCGCTTTGCCTTTCTTGTTTTTCTCACCTTCAACCATCTCTTTTGGGCGATCTTCTTCTCACGCAGGAACTAATATATTGGATTTCAGGTTGTCCAACATGACGCCTCCTTTACCCGTCCCGATATCGCATTCTGCCCGGACCAAAGCATCCCGCACACCGACCTGATTAATAGATTACTCGACCACGCGTCAGATGGGAAATACCTATCACTGACCGACTTTTCCTACTACTCTGGTCTACGCCGTGCGGAGTGCAAACGGAGTAATGGCCAGTACACACTATCGGGGAGTTTTATCCACAAGATGATCGGTAATAACTCTGTTCTCTATTGTACATACGGCTATGCTAATCGAATATTGCAGGATCTGGAACCAGCGCCCTCATGTATTCGATTTTCGGTGGGGGTATTGAAGCACTACGGGCGTGGCTTGTGGACGAGTGTTTCCCAGATGGTTGGGAGCCGAAGAATAGGGAGGCTCTCGGTCATACAATTGCCGTAGGTTCATTCTTGCTTTACTTTTCTTTTTTCGCCCGGTAATTCTGACATGGCTTATAGCAAGCATTGACTACCTCTCTTGCCGTTGAGTTTAGTATCGATGAGAAGCAAGCCTTGCGGGAAGGAGATGTCTTTTACCACGAGTGAACCAGGTGTACAGCTGGCTAACAGATTACTTCCTCTCTTGTCTGCTTATTATTTACTTCTTTTTGTTCCTGAGTATTGATCAGGGAAGAATGTATAACCATTTGCAAATGAGCGAATTTTCAATATAGAAAACTACACACTTAAGTGATTGTGGCGTTGGATGACACTTAGGATAGGACTAGTATAGCGCCCACCATATTTGGTGGTAGCTACGCATCGACAAGTTCAACTCCCGCGCAACTGCCGGTAAATCCTGTAGATAAACAGCATCATGCACTGACACACTACAAACAGATTTAAAGTCCTGAACTATGCCCTACATGGACAATGTTTCTCACGACAGCTTCGCACTACGCCCGACCTTACCGTGACGAGCATTCACCGGCTTCAGAACTTTATACCAGTTATCCTCAACCACCAGATGACTTTTGCCCTTCTGGGCCTCCTCCCACTCCTGCTCTACGCGACGAAATCGCTCCATTTCCTCCCGCAACCAAGCCGCACACGGTTCCACTACGGCCTTGACCTCCTGGAACGGCATCAGATGGCCCAAGCCAGGTAATGTAACCTCTTTGACTCTTCCCTCAAGCAAATCCCCACTCCCACCAACCCCAGTTCCACACCGCTTGATCGCAAGGCGCATCTCATCGAGATTCAAATAGGTCGATCCGCCCACGACCCAGAGGCAGGAGGGGCGGAGAGTGGGGAGACGGAAGAAGGTACTGCGAGGTTCAGGACGGTAGAGGGGGATGAAGGCAGCCACGGGATCCAAATCGGCATGGAAGTCGCGGGGGATCTCAATCACCCCAGTGGTTGGGTTACGGGCGCTGAAATTCTGTCGAATTTGGCCGAGGAGGTCATGATGCTTGGTGGTGGTTAGAGTGACAGGAGTGGTGGTGTTGTTGTTGTTGTTGGTGGATGTGCCAAACTTCGCCTTCACCGCCTCCACGTCCGGGTACAGCCGCGTCGGTAGATCCCGGAAGCCGTGGTCCGCCATCAATTCCACACATCGAGGATCCCATCCGTGCATAAACTTGCGGTTGGCTTGCACGGCTGCCTCGCGGCTGGGCCATACGTCCGAGCGTCGGAGAGTGTAGTTCGCTGCCCCCGGAGGGTCGGTGCCGAACCCCATAGCTGGTGGGCTCAGCTGAATGACAGGGTCCACGAGGAGGATGGTTGTGAATAAGCGCGGGTGGAGAAAGGCCAGGTTCGTGCTGAAAGGGATGGTCAGTGCTCGCTGCTGCTGGGTCGAAAAGTCTATGCTGGCACACACATGATGTTGCCGCCCATGCTGTGGCCGATTCCTACGAGTGGACGGGGCATCTGCTCGCGGAAATGGTTGATCATCAGGAACAGGTCCCGCGCATGATCCATCCAGGAGCCTGCGTGTGGAGAAGAGATGATTGGTCTTAGGAATTGGCATCATCTGGAAGACAAGATGGCTGCTTGGGGGGTGTTACATACAGTCCATGCTGAGTTTATCCTCATTCAAGACCCCACTAGTGTTCATACTGGCGCAGTCGGCCACCCAGATGCTGCGAATATGGAAACCGGTGGCTTGGTTTAGCAGCTCATCCCAGAGTGGCTCATACAATTCCTGAATTTTCCAATTTGTATAATTAGACCTGTGTGCACCTGACAAACAGGTGCCAGTAAGACCGTGTTACCTTGGGAAGTGCAGCTCCGTGAGCAGCGATGATAGTGATGGCATCGGCGGGAACGGGTTCGGCCTGGTTCTTGGGAGTATACTGCTTGACATGGAGTTTCAGTATGTCTTCCTGGTGAACAGTACTCCCGGGATATTCTCGGATATGGCAGCCGGGAACGGCATGCTCCGTGACGTTGAACTTTTCGCTCGACATTATTAGACGTGGCTTGTGGGGAAGGAGAGAAGAGGAGTTTGCTGGGTTTGAGCGCAGTAAACCACATGCGACTGTCCTATATACCCTGTCAGGAACAAACAACCAGCTGTCAGCACTTGTCCTGAAAGGGCAATCCCCGTGGGGCTCAATGCAGGCATTCCCCAGTTAGCGTATGAGCTAACTGGATAGATTGTACGCCACTTCCGTCGGATATAATGATATGGACACGGGTAAGCCTACCGACTACTGCCTTCGTCCTGGAGCCCACGCCCAGTGCTTAGAGACATATCGATACATAATCCCTTTTGCTGAATTTTACACCCAAAATTTGTGCCCGACTGGATATCCAGCCAGTCTTGAACCTGGAATGGTTGATGCAGCTGATCTAAGTTGTGCATACACGCGATGTGGATGGTAAGACTCGATGAAAAGAGCTATCAATGGTAACATGGCTGCGTTGGCCCTGACTTGATAACTTCGTCGTAATGCTCGAGACAAAGACAAGGAATTAATTACTGGAGAAGGCAGGTAGCATACGATCTAAGAACCGTGCGTATTACATGCGCAGCGATTTACGATACGAAAATTGTGCGAATAAGATATTCTTGTTCAAGTTTGTTTGAAAGGTTACATACTAGACCACCATTGAATGTAGCGATGAAGTGCCCTTCCGAGTGTCAAGCTACCCACCCGCCTTATAAGGCCCGCCCCCTTCCGGAACTGCTAATGCTAGTCCATGAGCTCAAAATTCTGATCTGGCATTCTGGTAAAGCAATCATCCACAGATGAAGACAACACTTACAAGTAAATTAGCCGGAAATAACCGAAGGAAATACTGAAGACCTCGTGATGAATGTTGACAGTTTCAACTCCAAGCCGCGAATCAAGAGCTGTTGGAGTCATCTTCACATCCTGCCTCCCTTGGGTAAACAAGTGAGATAACATTAAAACGGGGATGAAAAAAATGAAAAATAAAAACATAAAAGAAATAAAAAATAAAAAGACTCAACAGACCACTGCCACAGGACTGGTTCAAAAAGCAACATGTCCCAGTGGCTGAGCAAACGCTAATATACATCCTCAACATAGACAACCGCTTTATGAAGGATAACCTTATAAAAGGGATCCTTAAGATCTCCGCAACGATACATGGCGGGAAACCCCAAGAAGAGAATTTGGCGGTCATCAAAACAATGTTCCTTCTCAGCCCCTCCATAATCCTCGGCCAATTCTATCTCCGCCGAAGGGTGATGAAAGGCATGGCCCAAAGTATTGAGAGTCTTAAACTCCAGACGCTCAAGGTTGCATGAAATTTTCACCGAAAGTTCAGCGGCTGACCTGAAGACCTTCTGCATGTCAAGGAAGGCTCTATCCAGATCACATTTATCCGTACTTCTGAGGAGCGATTTCACTAGCTCTTGGCCCAAGATTTCCTCGCATATTTTGTCAGCCACGGAGTCTCGATGAGCAATCATGTCATATCCGAGCTTATGATCTGGGTGGGAGAAACGAGTAGTCCATAAGCGCCAAAGCTGGGCAGCCGCTGGGTCAGCTACCGGGAAGGTCAGCTATCAGTGGCAGAGCACAAGATGTCAAATGGGGAACCTGATTTCTTACATTCACGCATTCTCTCAAAAAGCTCCAATACCTGTGCTCCAAATTCGGGTGTGTTTGCTGCCAAATTCCCTTTATCATCCCCATCATTCACAGGCCTAGGGTTCGGAACCAGGTACCAGAAGGGATTCGTGAAGAACCTGGAAATGCATTCTTTGACAAGCAAAAGATGAACTAAGTGTGTTAGGCAATCATTTTGCGATTCTCTGGGAAGACTAGATACAATAGTATCGAAGTCATTCTGAATGCAGTAGCCATCAAGTCTAGAGATGAGGTCTCTTTTCTGCTCCACAGAAAGATTGGCATGCTTGCGTTCGGCATGCTTACGTGCCCAGTCAAGAGCCATTCCAAAGGGTCGCTGAATCTCTGTTGGCCACTCTTTCGGATACGTATGCTCGTAGTCAATGGCTCGAGGTTTGTGTACATGGTGCCAAATGAAGCTCTTTTCCACGTGTTTGTTCTGGGCATCCTCAACAGTGACCTGCGGGTTTGGCCCTTTTTCCGGCAGGGTCATTGCTTCTTCTTCTAGGTCCTGAAGTTTTTCCGCGATCTCTGATACCGGGTCAACGCCTGTCAACGTTGTAGTTGACTCCGTCTTCGTTCTTCGAACTGGGCTGCTGCTTCGGGTCCTTGTACGGGGCTCTCTGGTTTCTTTGCGTCCGGAGGTAGACTGACGGGTACCTGGAGCATCGTTCTAAATACCGAAATATTAGCCCAACGTGTTACGATGGCCAAGGGGCAACTAGATGGAGATTCAAACATTTGCTGCTGTGCCCTTTTTGGAAGATTTTGACTTTTCTTTCGGCATGGTTAGAGGAGGGTAAACGAGCTGCTGCCACGGGGATAAAGTGGCAAGGAATTTGAACAGAAAAAATCAGAAGTAATCAGTAAGAGATGGTAAGAGGAGGCTACATATAAGTCAGGTCTTTTGGGGTATGTTGAAAGGGTTCTTTGTCCCTCTTCTTTATTGTAGAGCCAGGTTCAGCTTACCAGCACCTCTGCGGGAGCCAATTACTGTTGAGGCGTGGCAAAGCTGCCGTGCCAATCTGATTTACACACATCATTGTACAACGTAGACCCACGGAGCTCTGAGAAAGTACCATGCAGAATTTGCTAATAATTAACACAAACCGAAGCTAGCCCAGTACACATTGTAAAACGACGGGATCCTTGGTCTAGAACGAAGAATGAAAAATCGAATAAATTATAGTTTTCGGTACTGGTTTCTTCTTATGTTTTCTTCCTTTCTTCATATGTTTTCTTCCAAGACTTCATAGGCTTCATCACTCTACCTGAACTTAGACAGTGCTTCTGCTTGCATTCGGGTTGGTACGAACAGTGGCCACCGGAGAGCTGCGGCCGTAAAAGGACAAAGGAGACGAGGGGTAAAACGAAGGTAATAACGGGAAAGCAGAGCCACCACCGCTTTCAGAGTGATGCATCTCTACGGAAAGAATGGGTGTTCGTGGGTTTCTTAATCCAGGCCTTTTAGTTAGGTTTCTCCATGAGCTTCCGCTAACTCTGGCCAACAAGAAGAGGCACCCCACTCTTGGTATCATGTGGGACGCTCCTCTGAGGTTATGCTTCCAACTCCGAATTTCTTACCCTACGGCATCTTTGTCCCCAAGCTTATGGCGTACTTCACAGTTTGCTCTTGAGGCAGCATTCAAGTTTTGTTGGTGAAGGATAGTGACAATGCGCGCAGCAGTCAGATTTGCCATACACCCCCCTAAATCGCCAGAATGACCCATCGAACACTACCATCGAAGCCATTGAGCCATACCAGCTATATCCTACCGTAGTATTATAATTTATTGGTGGACACTGAAACGTAAATCTATACCGCATACCGTCGAGAACACTATGGCATGTACTCCCGTAGCTTCCCGGTCGGAGATACTACGCAGCTTGACCCCAGTGTGGCACTATTATTCCTCCCATTCCCAAGCACTGCGAGCCATTAATTGTGCCATGTTCAGCACAGTACCTCCTATACACAAATGTCAAGATGGCTCGACTGACTCTTCCAAAAAGCCTCCAATCTGTACCTTATGAGATGCCAAACCCCCACCTATCAAAGTGGGGGTATCCATTTCTGGACAGAAAGGCCACATATAAGGCCAAATACTCGGTCAGTAAAGCTAGCTAGATATCAGTATGTGGACTAACTAGAGTCAGCAGACACACTTTTGAAGTCACTCAGCTCTCAGTCCCTTCTTTTACACTCCAGGAATCAGCAAGCCATCAGTAGGTATACCCACGATGGATACGGTTCCTTTCTCTGACAAGGTCTAACACGATTGCAGTGTCTCCCGCCGACGCCGACGAAATTTCTGCTCTCCTCCACGCTTACGGCAAAGCTCTGAGAAGCCGGAATGTGGACGAAGCAGTAGCTCTTTACACAGAAGATGGGGTCATCATGCCGCCGCACTTCTCGGCCAGTACAGGCACTGAGGCTCTACGCGACTCATACACACGCATTTTTGCAACCATTCAGCTCATTATCACCTTTCAAATTGAAGAGATCGTTGTTATGTCTCCGGAGTGGGCTTTTGCCAGGACGACGGCTGAGGGAACGAAAACGATACTTGCCACTCAGGAGTCTGAGCCACATGCGAATCAGGAATTGTTCATCTTGAGGAGGGAGCATGGGAAGTGGTTGATTGCTAGATACGCCTTTTCTAGCATGAAGCCGTTGGTGCAGAATGGAATTCGACGGAGTTAGATTTTTGGGTTGGCTGTTGATGTGTTGGAGGGTGATGATGGTACTTCTGATGGGCTGGAAGATTATAGCTTTATAAGGGAGGAGAAAAAAAAGAGGAAAGATAAAGAAAACACTTTTATAAGGATGAGCGGTTTCTTGTGATTGTCAATACTACTATGTCAGTTTAGGACAGGCGGTTTTGATCGCATAGGATAGACATAAAGGACGCTCTGAGGAATACTAATCCTCTATGTAGGTTATATCACCTGCTCTTTCCTTTTTTATGATCGAGACATATTGCTTGTGTCTAATTTAAGGCTTTTGAGTAGTAAGTGGTGCAGTTGTGTGGTTGTTCTAAAATATTACTAATACTATCTGATGGTAGCATATTTCACAGCGCAGTCAGTCACATCATAGTGCTGCTCTAGTAACATCGCCCCTTTGATCCGACCGCGATCGAATATATATCACATAAGTAGCAGTAGCTACTAAGGAAGGGTCAGCAGGACCTCAACGCGACAACCTATATTGCATTACTTACTTGGAAACCGACAGCAGTATTTGGGAATATTGAACCTGTATCTTGAATGTCTCACGGATATTCAGCTATGTAGTTATAACTAGTGAGGCAGGTGAACGACATGACTAGATACAGCCAATATGCTATAGGTTGAGCAGCTGGAATATAAGATCAAAACAGGAAGGTTCCTTCATAGCAACCCCCGATGGTCTAGTTGGTTATGGCGTTCGGCTGTAATGGGTATTATTGTAACCGAAAAATCACCAGTTCGATTCTGGTTCGGGGGATTCTATTGTTTTCTTTCAATTTTTTCTTTCTCGCTCAACAGTCCCCGAAGAAGCTATGTTTACCCGCATCTGCCCTCAAAACTAATAACTACTTCGAAAATGACAATGACTCCAAGCATTGCCTGACCACCACGGGTATCTCCCAGATCAGAGTTTGCCATGCTTGTCTCCTCTTTACCCCCAACACAATAGCAGTCACCAACACTCCCACTGAAGTGGTACAGCATGCAAAATTAAACAGTCCCCGTTTAACTCTCGGCTGCACTATACTTTGGATGTGCTTCCGAAAAGCTGCTGGGTTATTGGTGTTCGGGAAGGGCTCAACAGGGGTATCTTTACCCAGAAGCTGTAACCCACAACATTAACTGACACCACTCTTCCAAGCAATGGAAATATCACACTAAGCTTAACTTACCTCACACAAAGGACCCCATCCATCTTCAACATCCCACTCCAAAAGCCTCCCCTTCGGCACAAGCCCTCGAATCATCAACCCATGTTCCTGATACACTCTTTTCCCATGTTTCATCAGCCCCTCCTTGGTCGTCCGCCCACGAAACATGGCAGGATATCCAATCGTGTAGTACAACCTCCAAAGCCAGTACGCATCCGCCGTGAAAATGCGCAGAAACCAGGCCATCCACTGGTTTTCACCCTCTGCGACCAAGGTGTTCATAGCGCTGCGATGCCAGGCATCCACGTCCCGCCGCGTATTCAAAATCACTTTAGCCTCTGGATACGCCTGGATCATCTCCACGCTGAACATGGCGGCTGCTGTGTCCACCACCGCATCGCAATGCCCCAGCAGGCAATTGAACTCATCGCGAGTGATTGGGGCATCGCCTGGCCCTTGCACGCCAGAATACTTTCGCTCTGCTAGCTGCGCCCAGCCCTGGGCATATGGCGGGTCGTCGAAGACAATGTCCCAGCTGTGGTAGGTTTTGAAGCCGAGTTGGGTGAGCGCCCGGCTGAGACTCTCTGTTCCGGATCGTGGTAGGCCTACGCAAATTACTTGCAGTGGTTTGGTGCGGGTGCGTGGTTGGGGCACGGGGAAGCCATAAATAGCGCCGCGCAATGTTTCGATGGTCGGTAAGATCTGGGAATAGTAACAAGATATGACTGACACTAAGAAGATAGAGTGTAAGGATCTATGGGAGGTGAGAACCGAGTTTCTTTATACTTGTCTCTGCCACTATCCTTTTGATGTATCTCGCTACAGACTGTGGGGAAAATCAAACCACCCATTGGCCACTTATCCTTGTTCTGGCTGCCTAAAGATAACGAGGGCTTACGACACAGTGTGTATTTGGTTGGTTGGTGAGTATTCACAGCCCGAGGGAATAAAAGGGGCGCATGGGCCTTCTTTGTCGGGTTGGGCAAATGAAGCTTGAAATGCGGCTGAACGAGAGGCTAGACGGATCAACCAATGATTATTGTTGGCGTGAACAAAGTGCCCACTTGTAGTCCCCACGGATTCATGATTCCTTTGTCTGTATTGCAGCTCCTAAGCATAACGCATTGATTGGGATCTCCGTGCTGCCGTCTCATTTTCAGCTACCAATTCCACCACTAGGCACCAAATTTATTACAGAGCCGCAATTCACGCGGCTGGATGATGGAAACGAGAATGGCTTGATGATGCGAGTGTGGCTAATAAGGACTCCCAGTCTCACTCGGATCATGAAAGGATCTTAGTACTCTCTGTCTCGGTAGAGTTGCCTGTCACAGTAAAACAACCAACTAAATGAGGCTAGCGTATGTACACATCACCAGGGCTTGTAATCAAGTGTATTGAGTGGTATCTAGTCAAAGACAATAGCAGCCTTGACAACCGGCTTTCGCCTCATCGCGTCAAGGCACATCTCCCACTCATCCAATTTGAATGTCTTATTGACAATCCCAGACACATTGATTCTTCCAAGATCTGTGTATGTGGATATTCATTAGCCACTGATTCTCCATACCCCCCACATCACAAAACTCACCAAGATAATCAATGGCAGCTGGAAATTTGTACGTCTGACTGAAAGAACCCAGGACATGGATCTCCTCCTTGAAGATCTTGTTCGGTGACAGCGAGATGCGGCTCTCATCATTGTAGACCCCAAAAACTACCAACTTTCCACCTTTGGTGACAAAGTGTAGGGCGTTCTCCAGAACCCTTTCACTACCCGTCGCTTCCACAACAATATCAAAGCCGTACGGAGATTCCCTTCGTAGCTGCTCCAACCTAGCAGTCGCGGCATCTTCGTCCCTTGGCAGCTCGACAAACTCATCCGCAGCATCAAGAGACTTGGCCAGCTCCATCTTCAACCCGCCCGGCGCAGCAATAACAGTTCGACAGCCACCATTTTGGCGAAGCAGCTGAGCTAGCATTAGTCCTGTGGGACCGGCGCCGAACAGAAGAACACTGGACCTCATTTGTGGGGATATCTTATCCAGCCCGTGTGCCGCACAGGCTGCAGGCTCCAATAAGGTGGCATCGACGTCTGACAGGTTCCTGATTTTGAATACGCGATGGGCCGGGTAGGCAGCGTATTTGGCAAATCCGCCATCGACCATTACGCCGTGGGCGATAAAGTTCTCGCAGAAGAGCTCTTTGCCTCGGCGGCAATAGTGACAGTGTCCGCATAGTTCGGAGTTGTCGGCTACCACGCGATCACCTACTATGAAGTCAACGACGTCGCTGCCGAATGCTGCGACGATGCCGACGGTTTCGTGACCAGGTACTAGGGGGAACTTTGCGGATCAGTCCTGTATATAAATTAGTGGTAGGAGTGCCCTTACCTGGGCTCCAAATTCACCCTCGTGGATGTGCAGGTCGGTACCGCAGACACCACAGGCCTTTACTTTGATCTGGAATGATGTTAGACATTGTGTACAGTTTGCGCAAGTTCACAACAAACGAGGATATCATGAGCACGTATGCTAGGTAGCTCCTTTTCAACAATGCTAAAATTTCGTGCTTCGCTATACTCTACATTTCCGACCGTCACATCAACTATTGTGCTTGTTGGCTTGTCAAGATAACACAACACGCACCTAGTGCCCTCATGGAGCGGGGTAGTTCGAAGGTGTTCATAGAACTCATACTAAATTATTGGGTAAATGTGGGCAGTAGGTTGAAGATCTATTGTTGAGGATAATCATTGGCGCGTATGTCTGCATTCGGAGGCTGTTATATCTCGTTAGAGAAAGTGAGTGTATGGAGGCCAGGATAGTGAACTGTAGATACTCATGGGCAAGATAAAGCAGGATGGCATCTTCACAACCGACCTCGGACTCTGGATGCTTGGTAATTCAATGGTAGGGTCACTTGTGTTTACTGGAAGATGGATAGGCATGGACCTTCGACTCTTGGGTGACCCCCGAGACGGGGGCTTGTCGATCAGCCTTGCCCCACCCCAGCATAGCAAAAACCTCAGAATTCTGCCAATGTCCCGAAGCTATAATGGTAGAAGGATGGATTTTCTTTACATGCACACGGGATGAGTCAGACATGAAAGCATACGCCGGCTGGATGAGCTCTTGGGGACCGAAACTGATGAAATAACATGGAGAAATGCTCATATCCATTCACTAGTGTCCTACCCAACAACGAAACCAGTAAAAAAATAAGAGCAAGAGGAGTACTATATAAAGCCAGCTAGATAAATCACGGAGACGTGACCCAGCATTTGACGTCAGGGGGCAAAGTTCTCTTTTTCAAAGATAGTCATTGCGTTCTTATCAACTCAAGGCCTACAGTTAAGCCATCACCGCGGTCGCATTTTCCACATGCTGCGCTGATTCCATCATATCACCTTCCTTAGCCCGAATAACATGCTCATCTCGAACCTGGTATCTCTCAGGGCGTTTGCGGGAAATTGCTTCCCTATCGAAGCAGACGAAAAGTGGTGGATTCCCACGATAGTAGTCATCCATGTCCTCCAACGTACGTCCTGCTGTCTCCGGATAAAAGACGTAAATAACAGGGACCATCGCTGCGTTCAACGCGATCCAAATCGTATAGAATCGCCATCCAAGGTTCTGTATACCAATTGGAGTGATCTCGACAACCATGAAATTGAAAATCCAGTTGGTAGCTGCTCCGAGAGCGGCGCCCTTGGTTCGCATCGTGAGGGAGTTGATCTCTGTGGGGTACACTGGGAATATCATCAGTACTCAGTGAGAGCATAGATTTGGAAGAAAAGTGAGACATACACCATGGCACGCCTTGCATGCCAATTCCAAAGAATACATAATACATGAAAAAGAAAGCAACCGAGGCAGACGCCACTTCATGTTGATGTGGGTAGCCGGGCATCTCATTGTACCGGATGAGAGCTGTGATGAAGGTATAGCAGAGACACTGGCCCGTGGCACCAAACATCAACAGGGCTCGACGGCCCCAACGTTCAACATTCGGTATACCAATCATAGAAAAGCATAAATACTGAAGCTATTACATGCTGTTAAGAGTCTTGCTAACGACTCACTCATACCAACTGATTTAGTCAGTACCGTAGGTAGGTAGTAGGAGGTCACATTGATTCCTGAGAACTGTTGTATCGCTTGAGCTCCCATGCCGAGGATAAGTCTGCGTATAGTCTTGGTGCCTGATCGTTCATGGGCGCGTCCGCGCAGTATGTCACTGAAGCTGACGCTGTTTGCTCGCTCATATTCCACACTGTATCGAATCTCATTGGTCTGGAATTGAACGAAGGGATCGTTGGTGCTTTTGTTCTCAAGATCTGCGATGATCTGTACAGCTGCTTCTTCTTGGCCGTGGGCGATAAGCCACCTGGGATTATCAGTACAATCTGTTAAAAATCATAGGGCAAGTGAAAACCCAACAAGGACGAGTACATTCTCGAGGATAACCAATTTACCCCGCCAATGCACATTTGATGTCTCGACCTGCCAAATGGGTGCAGTGGATGTGTTCAGACCTGGGTGTTCACATGGTTAGTGTCCATATTCCTGGAACTATGGGAGGAGAAATACCGTTCCCAATTCCCGCAATGACTCGACCTGCCATCATTTGGCCCACACTGTATGAGGAAGCTTGCAAAAGGGCACCAATTGCCATCACAGTAGTCCCAACGAGAACCGTCTTTCGGCGCCCTAACCGCTCACCAAGCCAGTATGCACAGATAGATCCGAGAAAGCAGCCAACATCGTAAATCGCGGTGACAGTGCCAAGAAGACTGGTCTTAGAAGGACCTTCAAGATTGTGTAGTTGCAGAAAATCATGGGATATCACGACTCCGCTGAAAACACTCTATATCAGGGTCAGCCGTGTACCACAGAAACTGTACTATAGTAACTGACCTGATCATAGCCATACAGGGTCATGTCAGCACCACAGGCTAGAGTGATCCAAAAGGTTAACCACCCCCCTCGAAGACCGAAATACGGGGTCTTGAAATTGAACATAATGTTTATAGTTTTATGATAATTCATCATTTTCTTAGACAGGCCGGCTTGAAGGTTACGGCCAAAATATATCCTTTCATCCTCTCCATACTTTCATCCGGGTATGCGGCAATCCGAGGTAACCACTGTGTCAATAACACACAACATTATTACTATCATACGACTCATATCAAATAGCATCTTCAATGCCATAGGAGCACTGAGAAGTATACAGTGATGGTTTTGTCGATCCCATAGGGCGCGGGGTAATGCGGGGGATCACGTGGAATCAGCAAGGAATGAGGATGGAATGGATCGACATTCAGCATGTGTCCCGTCTCGGGGACACTTTTCTCTGGATGAGCGAAAATGGATCCAGATTATGGCCCCGATGATATTTGCAACGCATGGCCATATGGTATCCCAATCATGGCTTCTCAATTGCCCTATGGACGGCCACGCATACGCAAGTCTCGCGGCCGCGGGTTACGGACTAAGAATGGATGGTGAGTGACCCGTGCCGAAGACGCGGTACACGTTTTAATATAATGGATGCAGCATAACATGTCGTAAGCGACATCTGAAGTGCGATGAAGTCAAGCCGATATGTGGTCCTTGCGTCAAAAAGGACAAGACCTGTGAATATCCCGCATCAGGCCGTCGCAGTAATGACAGCCTAGCCTCCGACCGGGCCATTGACGCTGCTGTTCCGGTGTCAGACCAAGATGCAACAGCATCTCCGAAACAAGCCAGCGCTCATGTGTTGCATAACGTCTCCACAGAAATAACATCCTACGAACGACATGAGCCACCAGGTGCGGCCTGGAGCTGTTCAGATGCAGAGACCAATTCCCCTCCGTCAGCGGTTCTGGACCACCTAACGGGAAATGACTTGCCTCTCAGCCAGAGTCCCATCGCCTTTCAACATAACTATCTGTCTCCCTCAAACGCATCTTTTGCCGCAGTGAGATGGTTTGGCCTATTGGCGAGTGATGCTGCAAGGGACAGCCCGCAGCTGCCCTCTGTAAATAATTCCCACTGCACTCAAAACCAGCCAGTCGATCACTTGAATATCGATGGTCTGAGCCAGCCCTATTCGCTGCAATATGCGACACAGGTGCTCGATAGCACTCTTGACTCTAGCGCGAGCAATTGCCCAACAGGTCATCAAGAAGGTAGTGCGGTAGAGGAGGAACTAATTTGGCAGTCACGGGAGGCAATTAAGCTCCTGCCTACCGAACATGCCTTGTTCGAACACTTCATAAATCAAGTGTGCCCTTGGGTTAGCATACATATACTTCTGTTCCAAAGATTAACGAGATAGCCTAATACCTCTTTAACAGCTCGATCTCTTCGATCCTACCAGCCAATTATCTACATTTGTCGCGCACTTGGCCGTAAGCCACCCATTGCTGTCAGTTGGAATGATATATTAGCAGACTGACAACTTGCCAAGATACATAATGCTGGACTCATGAATGCCATCCTCGCCCTCGCATTCCGGCACCTAGCACTCAATCCCCGTCTAGATCAAGAAAACATGCCGAACAAAGAAGCTGCGGCTCTACAATACTACTACCAAACACTGCACTACGTCCAGCGAGCCATGCGATTCTTCAGCTACAAAACCAGCCTAGAACTCCTTGCAACAGCACTGATAATCTCCGCCTACGAAATGCTCGACAACTCCACCAACGACTGGGAACGGCACCTCGAAGGCGTCTTCCTCATACAAAGGTCCCAGACAATCCACGGCGAGTCTGGCGGCCTACACTCCGCTGTATGGTGGGCCTGGCTCTGCCAGGACATCTGGGCTGCGTTCCGCGAGAAACGCAAAACATTGACATTCTGGGTTCCGCAGAAACCCCTCTCTGCGCTGTTGCCGCACGAGCTTGCTATGCGTGCTATTTATATTACTGCAAAGGTGATTAGTTATTGCGCAGAGACCACAACTGAAGAGAACAGACGGCGTCGAGTTGAAGATGCTAACCGGCTTCGTGCCATGCTTGAGGATTGGCGACAGCACCGAACCGTGGAGTTCTCGCCCCTACCGCTAGGTGCAAGCGAGTATTCGTCGTACTTTCGGCCGATTTGGATTCGTCCTGCTGCGTTTGGTATGTTTAACGCCAGAAACAGATGTTGAATTGACGAGGTACACTGACTGATTTGTGTTGTAGGACTGGCAGTTCAGTTCTTCAGCGCGTCATGCATTCTCTTACTGGCGCATGAGCCAAGTATGGGAGGACTGGACCAGTACCTCGAACGTCAAAGTGCCATCAAGCACTACGTGGACGATATCTGTGGGATTGCTATGACCTTAAGGGATCATGCGTCTAGTTTGATGTCATCTCAAGCTGTATTCATGGGTATGTAATAGGTAGACGTTACCAACTCATCCGCCTACTGTAAAGGTAAGGCTCGCTGAGTGTCTTTCACGTGACTGACCCATCGCAGCAGGAATTTTTACGCAAGAGAAGCGTGCTCGGGACGATATTCTGGAGCTGCTCAAATCTTGTCGAGCAAGAACTGGCTGGCCGGTTAGATCATTAGGAGTGGAGCTACAGGAGCTTTGGGAAAGCCAGGATGCTAAAGCCGCTACTGGTGGGAAAGGGTTTATCCGGGCCGGTGCTGCCTCATAACATGGTTGATCACTACTTAGCCAGTCTACAGACCAAGTAATGCTCCCTTGACTCCAGCTCTGAGCTGGACCCTCCATAAGCGGTGCTCATTCAGCGCAAAGATCTCCCCGTTTCGGCCAAAGCAGAAGTTGGCTACCCCGCCGTCGATAGGGATGCGACCGAGGAGAACTCCACCTGGCGACCAGACGTGGATACCATCACCGCAACCACTATACACATTTCCATTCAGATCGCACTTGATCCCATCAGGAATACCGTGATCGGCCATGGCAAAGAGTCGACGGTTGGTGAGAAACGGCTGTCCATGTATCGTGGACACGTCGAAGGCATAGCTACACAACACTAATCAGTGGACATCCCAATGACAATATAATAATGAAAACCTTTCGCATACATTGAAGATACCCGATGATCAAACACCGTACCATCCCCATGCAAACGGTCTGTATCTGTGATATAAACCGTCTTCTCATCCGGGGAGAAACAAATCCCATTCGGCATCCCAAACCCATCAGCCATAGCGCGAGTAGTCCCTTCGCGCGGACACCACCGATACACCTGACACGGTAAACACGGTTCCGGACGATACTCATGCCTGTAGCCATATATAGGATCCGTAAACCAAATGGAGCCATCGGTATGCACCACCACGTCATTGACCGAGTTGAACGGCCGGCCGAAGAAATCCCCCTTGAGCAGCTCCGTTGTGTACGGAGCAGTGATGGACATCTGATACAACCCACTAGGCTGGGTCATGGACCCCTGTCCGCAGATGAGAATGTGATCTCTCCCGTAGTTGATGCCGCCATTTCCCATAGGTATCTCGGTGGGGATTTCCTCGTAGGTGATGGGGTTGGTGTTCAGGTCAACGCGGGTGATGTAGACTTTTTGCTCGCTTTTACTACCATTTGGATCGAGGCATCGGTTGCTGGTGATCCAGAGGTTGTTTGTTTCAGCGATGTAGATTCCGGCTTCGTGTGCAAAGGGGTAGTCTCGATGTTCTGCTAATAGTTCCAGGGTGGGGGTTGGGCCGGTGATTGCGTCGAAGTCTTTGTGGTGGGATTGGAACCCTGTTATTTCGCTGTCGGTCATGGTGAGATATTTCGTCACGCTGATTAGATTGCGAAGATAGTGTGCTTGTATGTAGGTGATCAGAACAAGAAATATAGTCAGTGTTCAGTGAGTATAAAAAGTGGCAAACAGAACAATGGAGGGGAAAGATGGGGAGAGAAACTGGGGAATCGGGGTAACTCCGGTCCTCGTCTCGAGGCCATCTCCACCCCACCGAGTATCCATCTCCGAAGAGTATAAGAACGTCGATCAAGACAAGCATCCATGGTATGACAACCGCATCCAACTGAATAATTCAGTGCACCTCGCAACGATGTCCTGGAAAGAAGAAAACCGCCACAGGCGCATTCTGCGCAATGCCCATGCCGGCGGATACGGCGTCATCGCTGTCATCGCCTACAACCTCGAACAAATCCTGGGATACATCCGAGCAGCCGAAACAGCGCGCTCGCCTCTCATCATACAATTCTTCCCATGGGCTGTCAAAGCAACGGATGGCTTGATTGTGCGTACCGCTGCAGATGCGGTCAGTCGTGCGACGGTGCCTATCAGCATCCACCTCGACCATGCTCAGTCGGAAGACATCATCAAGCAGGCGGCGGATATGCCATTCGACAGTATTATGGTAGACATGTCCCACCATGAGAAGGAGGTCAATCTGCGAAAGACTCGCAAACTGGTGCGATACTGCAATGAGCGCCAGAAAGTCACCGAAGCTGAGCCGGGGCGTATTGAAGGAGGTGAAGACGGGGTCATGGATACGGCAGGGCTGGAGGCCTGTATGACCACTGCAGAAGAGGTGGATGAGTTTATTGATACGGGCGTGGATGTGCTTGCTCCGGCTATTGGCAATGTCCATGGCGAATATGGTCCCCGTGGCCCGCAGTTGGATTTTGAGCGGTGAGTTTGGCCGTTACTCGTGATGATTGGAACAATCAACTTGCTGACTCACTGTGCCAGGTTTGAGAAGATTCGCAGTCAGGTCAATGGGAGAATATGTTTGGCGATTCATGGTACGAATGGGTTTCCGCCCGAGCTGATACAACGCTGCGTGGCGGCTGGAGTGGCCAAGATCAATGTGAACCGGCTTGTGTTGGATGATTACTATGATCATCTTCGAGATAACGTGGGGAAGATACCACATACCCAGCTGATTGAGGAAGGGATTCAGAAAGTGGCAGATTTGACTGCGAAGTGGATGGAGATTTGCGGGTCTGCGGGTAAGGCGTGAAACACAGTTGAATCGAAATATGATATAGTTAAATTTTTAGAGTGCATACATTAAGCTTAGCAATGATTCACCATCCCTTTTTTGCGAGCATTTACAGAGAGTGATGGTTGGTAGCTTACAACTACTACTTTCAAGAGCTGGCTACATTTATAACACATACCAGACAGTAATGAAATTTGTGAACTAGGATATAGTACCAGATAACTGCAAGACACTATTTCCAGACCAATCTATTGCAAGTTACTAAACATCCCACCATCCGCCAACAACCCCGTGGCATTGACATATCGACTCATCTCCTCGCAAGCCAGGAACACCGCTGGACCAGCCATATCGTCCGGGCTCCCGATCCGCCCCAGCGGAATGCGCGCCTCGAGTGCAGCCTTCTTAGTAGGGTTCTTCATATCATGATCAGCCAATTGAGTCGCAATAGTACCTGGCATAAGAGCATTGCATCTGACACGATCCTTGCCAAGTGAAATAGCCATAGACTGCATCATGGAGAACACAGCGGCCTTAGTGGGGGTATAGTGGGTCTGAAGGCCTCCACCAACCAGTGCGCTGACGGAAGAGATACCGATGATGGAGCCACCGTGGCCCTGCTTGACCATCTGCCGGGCAGCTGCTTGACAGGAGTAGAAGCAGCCTTTGATGTTGACGTCGACGCTGTGATCGAGGAGAGAGGATTCAATTCTGGATGAGTTAGCTGCCAGTCTTCTGTATTTCGCTGTTGGAATAATAGTCTCACTGGAGGAATTCAGCTTGCTTGAACACACCAGCATTGGCAACGAAAATATCCAGCTTGCCCCATTGAGAGACGGCTTCCTTTGACAAGGTTTATGCTGGTTTCCGGGGCGGTCACATCACCAGGAATCTCGAGGATATTGCCAGCTGCGATTCCGCTTTGTTGGATGGATTTAACTTCATCGAGCAGACTGTGCCGATGCTCTTCATCCTGGGGGAGGCCGAGATGGTTGACCGCGACATTGCAGCCTTGGGTGATGTATGCCAATGCGATCGCGCGGCCGATTCCTGTGGTTCCGCCGGTGATGGCAGCTGTTTTGCCTTTGAGCAGATTGCAGGCCGGTAGAGCCATTGCAGAGAATTGTTCCCAAATGAGCCGTCCGAAGAATAATACAGTTTCTTGTGCAATATAGTGACCGGAGCACCTTTTCAAGTCATGCAATGCAATCGTTGTTCCCGTCTCGAGGCAATGCATCCCCGCGCTTCCCCGCCTCTCCGCGTCTCGGGGGATCCCCGACTCGAGTGATCAAGTACCAGCAGATGATCAAAACATGTTATAAATTAAAAGTAAATGCCTTATACAATGTAAAATCATTATTGTTTGAAGACATTATCACTATCTTATCAATCATACTGATATCATCGCAATGACTTCCTCGGACTCCAAAGAAGCACCCCAGGCCAGCGCTGTCCAGACCCAGGTCAGCCTCGGAGGAAAGGTTATCGCAAGTAGGTGCTCAACAGACACGGCTGTGATACACCTCTAATCTTTCGCCAGTAACCGGCGCCAATCGTGGAATCGGCCTCGGTATCGCAGAATGCTGTCTCACCAACGGTGCTGCCAAAGTCTACTCGATCGACATCGGCGAGACAGGGGAGGACTTCGTCGCCCTGGAAAAGCGCTACCCAGGGCAACTCAGGGCCATTAGCGCAAATGTAACAGAGGAAGCCACTATCACTGCAGCCATCGACAAGATCATCGAAGAGGCTGGCGCGCTGCACGGTATGGTAGTCAACGCCGGTCGCACCCACCACAAAGCTGCTCTGGATTTCACCAAGGAGGAGATTGAGACTCTTTTCAACGTGAACCTGTTCGGAGCATTTTATAGTGCTCGTGCTGCAGCGCGTTCGTTTATCAAGCTCGGAATTAAGGGGTCGATTGTTTTCACTGCGTCGATGGCTTCGTACCGACCGAATAAGGTTTGTTGTTGTTTATTGTCTGGGATGTACTCATGGCTTACGATGTGCCAGCGCGTCCCATCCACTCCGTATGGCGCTTCCAAGGCCGGCGTTCGAAACATGACTCACACGCTGGCTATGGAATGGGCTCAGTATGGCATCCGGGTAAACAGTGTTTCGCCAGGTTTGGTAAAGACTGCCATGACATATTGGGTACCACAGCAGCCCGACTGGGAGCAGCAACTCAAATATTACGGAGGATTTCCCCGGCTGGCGGAGGTGCAGGAGCTGGGGGGTGCTTATGTGTATCTGCTGAGTGATGCTGCTAGCTACACGACTTCGATTGATATTCCAGTGAATGGGGTGATTGGAAGTAAGTGTTTCATTGTTCTTTCCAGGTTTAGGCGTGATACTGACTTGAACAGTTTGTTGAAAATAAATCTTCGCGGCGAGGTCTTGTTTTCTAGGTTTCATGTTGTTGAGTTCGTTTACTAGAGGATCCATGTAGTGCTCTAATACAGTCTGATTTTCTTCCCATTTGTTTGTTTTCATAGACTACCGAGTGGATGAAACCGTCAAACGCTCTACCTTGCGCGCGAAACGAGGTCTTTTATTGCGGTGTCGCGTGCAACTATTCAGACATATCATAACCATGTGAAGCGCTTTTGTTTCATGTAGACAAAGCAAAGGAATCTTGCAGCTTCAGTCGGATGCCCCATGTTTCATAAGCAATCACATATTCATTTCATTCCATTCAAAATTCGCGCAAATCATGCTACTAAAATCAATAAGCTCTCTCAGGAAAAGTGATATGATACCCCGTACTACTAGCTCCTAGTGCGTCCTCCCCTTGACAGTACCATCGATCCCTTCCAAATCACTATACAATCGCCACTCATAATCAAAACTCGGGTCATTGAACCGCGCCTTCGCATCCAGAGTAGCAATCTGAGCCATATCCTCCGCATCGAGCTCGAAGTCAGCTGCCAAATTCTCCTCGATCTGCCAATCGATCACAGTTTTTGGGATGACCGAACGGCCACTGTTGATTCCCCACGCAAGAACAACCTGCACAGGACTCTTGCCATACTTCTGACCGATTGCTTTGAGAATGGGCTGATCAATAACCCGCATCATGTGCGCGATTTCCTTCGACCATCCTGCCTGACGGTAGAAGTCGTTCATGTTACCTAGAGGACTGAACTGAACGACGTGGATGCCCTTTTCGCGAAGCCATTCGTTGAAGCCTTTCTGCTGGAGGTAGGGATGGACTTCCATCTGGTGCACGGCGGGGACCTGCAGTTATCAGTTACGCCTAATCATCAAAACAAAAGGAAAAGAAGGTTACTTACAGTAGAAGTCTCCCTAAGCAACGTCTCAATCTCACCCTTACTAAAATTCGATACCCCAATGGCCTTCACCTTTCCCGTCTCGACCACCTTCTCCAAGGCTCTCCACGTATCCACAAACGTAGTCTCCCCATGAATCATTCTCCCCTCCGCATCACGAGGGAACCGATCTTCACCCCGCTTAAAAGTGCACGGGTAATGCATCAACAGCAGATCAACATAGAGTGTATCCAAATCCCGCAAAGAATCATCCACCGCGCGCTCGACATCATCGGGATGGAAATCGTTGCACCAGAGCTTAGTGCCAAGGAAGATCTCCTCGCGCGGGACGCCGCTTTTCTTGATTCCTCTGCCGACTTGCTTCTCTACGCCGTAGACACGCGCTGTGTCAATAAGCCGCATACCATGTTGCAGGACTTGGCAGACAGTGTCTTCCTGAGAGTCGGGGTCTTGGAAAGTGCCAATTCCGAGAGCGGGGATTTTGGCGCCCGTGTTGAGGGTGTATGTTGTGCGGGTTGTGGGCGGGCGAGTGGCGCTTGTTGGTTTGATGGACACGATTGGGTCCTTGAGTGCTTGAGGGCCGGTGGCGTTGGCTGCTGCGGTGGCTGTAGCCATGTTGGGTGTGTTGTAGGTAGGTGGTACTAGACTGTGTGATGTTGTTGCCAAGAGGCTGTGGTTTGTTCGGTTTTGTGATGGTCGAATTGAGGAGAATCGACTGGGGTAAATATATCCCTCATTGGTATGTGGTATACGGTGAGGGCGAATATATCTGCACTGGTGGTAAGGCTATAAGCCACTACGAGGGCAAAATATTCCAACGTAAGCAGCAAGCTGTAAGCCTGCATGACGCCGTGTCGGTGCTAGTCTGTAGTAAGAATTGGCGGCGGCTAATAGCGGCCGCCCGCTACTGTGATCTCCCATCCAACGAGTAAAGTATAACGGATGAACGTCGATATTCACTATAAAGATCGACGTATGTCGTGAATGTTGATACAGAGATAGCCGAGGTATATCTTTAGTCGTCCATATATGTCAATTTTGGACGACTCCTTATATAACGGTCGACTTGGCAGAATTGGAAATTATCTTCCAAGTGACATTAATAACACTTTCATGTTCATAAAGAAAGCTATCCGTATCTGATAATAACATATGATTACGAAATCCTGTAGGATCAAAAGTAATTATGCATAAAGTTAAATTCCACCAGACTCCTATTGGCAAATCAGTTCACCTACTGAACATCATATTTACCCGGTGCCGCTATTAGCCGCTGCAGTGGGCGCGAGACGGAGCCATGCCAAGTATTTCATCACATCTTGTCACATTCCATCTTGACTCTTGGAGCTATCTTAACTAATATCTTGGTAGTGGCAATTATGTGGGAACCCCCAAAGCAATGGCGAGATATAAATCTACATAGTTACCATGACCAGCAGGGCAAACCTAAAATTACGTAAAACAATTGAAACATGAGAAGATGGATTATGAAGTCAGGTATGTTCAACCTCCGTCAATGGAATCTCATCCGCTACCATAGTAACCTCCACCTTCTTCACAATCCCGGGCACATGTCGATCGAGAAACTCGCGGTCCCCGGCAAATATATGCGTGGAGATACTAGCCAGGATATGTTGCTCCAAGTTCTCCCCCGACTCAGTCTGCTGCATATACGGCATGATCCACCGTTTCTTCCAGTCCTGCGTCATTTGACTGACATTAAGCGTCGTGCTCTGCGTACCCTCGCCGTTGTCCATTTTCCTGTGTAGAGTGGGTGCTCGTTTGATGAATTTTTTGATCCAGTGGACAATGAGCGGTCGGAGACAAGGGATTGATGCGGTGATGAGCACGACGCCCGCTTCGACGAACATCCACCGCAGAAGGGTGACGTGGTTGGTGCGTGGATTGGTCGAGGTCATGATGGTTGGGTATTCGATGGTTTTGACTAGGGAAGCGGCCATGGCTCTGGATTGTTGGGTAATGGTTAGTTGGAAACGAAAGAATACATGGCCGATGTGTTACTCACACTACTCCCAAACTCAGAAGAGAGACGAGCACAAGTTTGACTCTGACGTTCCAATTGAATCGCCAGAAGATGTAGATAGGGAAAGCAGCGAGAAGGAGATCGCAGGCGGAGTTGAATGCTGTAGAAGTCGTTTAGAAGAGACTCGTCAATGAAATTACAATAAGAGGAAACATACCACCCTGGAAATAAGCATAGTCAATTTGAACCTTCAGCGACATGCAATGGGTGGCTTGGCTCGGGTTGAACAATTCTTCCACATGTGTCCAACATTGAAAAAACAGCAAGAACACACTGATAACATTGACAACCACCTGCAAGGGCACTAGGGTCCATAGAATTATGCGGTGTAGTTTTCGGGCTGCCAGCAGCTCAATAAGATAGATGATAAAGGCCAAACGGCCGGCAGTGGCAGCCAGCGTTACCACGGCCTGACTGATAGTGGAATACTTCAGGGAGCTCATCGCGTGGTGCAGCTCGAGCGAGCTGGCAGTCTTTCCGTACCCATAGTCTACCGCGACACTTGAGAGGGCTGCGGCAATCATAAGCAGGGCCTATTTATCTCCCTAGAAGTTAGTGAAGTTGTAAGAAGACATGTTCATGCACTGACCAGTGCCAACAGAGTGACTATATCACTGATTTGAAAGTTGCCAAACTTGGCATTGCCGAATGATCGCATGGCCACAACTATAATGGACAATGCACTCATTGTCCAAACAGCAGCCAACAGCTCAGGGCCAAAGTTGACCGCAGAGCTTGGCTTGGGCAGCGGACTGACAGTGGTACTATTTCCACCGGTTCCATTGTGCGGGGACCCTCCGGCATTCATCTCCGCGGGAAGTCATAGCAGAGAAGAAAAAATAGAGTGAAAAAAAGGGCGTATCCACGCAAGGGCAACGGAGGATAGAAAAGGATTTCTGGGGTTTAGAGGCCACGATCATCGCACAGACCTATAGTGATAGCCAAGCCAGCGAGCGATATATTCGGTGCTAGATAAGCCCCAGGGCGGAAACAAAGTTGGAGTGGGATCGCACTGGGCAGTTGTGATAGAGCCAAAGCCCGCAGAGAACCACGCGTCGTTCGGGATGTGCGATCGAGGTGCACTGCTTGGTACTGGCCGGTGCAACGAACACGCTCAGCTGGCTATTGTGTGCTGGTCCATTGGGCCCACTGTATTACTCAAAGTTGCTCAACGGCCGGACGATCGTCGGAATCCACTTTAAGTGAAACGATACCGTTGGGCCCGCGCATCCTCTGGCCCGCACCCACTAACGCAAATTAAGCATATCGGCCGGTTCTTCTTGCTTGCTCTCCACCCCCTTAATATCACCGACCCGTGGTCCTTCGACTTCCCCACTCAGGGTTTCGGCCGTGGCTGACCGTGATTAAGGGATTATCATTGACTAGCTTTGTGTCAGGCTCACTCGACAGCGAAACATTGGAGCTGAACCCAACTATCGCGCGGAGCTAAAAATACCTCGCGGTGTTTCTTGATCTATTGACAAGCCATCTAACTGCTGTCCCGTCATATGATGCAGAAAACATGGGTGGAGACAGAAATGACTAACGAAAACGCCATCATTAGTGCAAATGAAAAGTATGATGCTGCGAGTTCGCCTTTCAAAACCCGGGGCCTGCCAAGATTTTCCAAGCAACTGTGATTTACTTCAATACCCGCCATCATCATCAGGAACCCCTTGTACAAAGGTAGGCCGGTCACTTTAGTACCTCAGCCCTATGTACATATGCTCTGGGAGGTGAAAAGGGTCGATCACCTACTGGGGCTAAGCTGGTCGAAACTGGGTCAAGTATGTGTGCTAAAATCAATATTGAAAATGATTGAATTTGTACGAAGTCCTCCCCAATGTGCGATTCTGACCTGGAGAAATCTCCACACATTCAAGGTTCTCTAAATTACCACTCAGGGCAGGGCTCGTTGACATCTCCAGGCGCGGGTCCAGAGCCAGCCTTAGAGCCCGACTGAGCACCAGACTGGGGGTACGATTGCGATCCACGGGCAGATCCAGAGGGGAACGGCGCAGAGCCATATCCGGAGGCAGCGCCAGACTTGAACCCAGAGCCAGAGCTGGATTGAGTGGGAGCAGCAGCACCAGATCCAGCGACCGAAGGAGCAATGGACGGCACTGAGCTGGCTTCCTGAGTGGCCGAGAGAGCAGCTGCGCCAGTTGCCTCATCGGTAGAAGCAATACCAGCAGCTGAAGGGGTAGGGGTCGCGTGGGTAGCCACAGACGCAGTGGATGAAGCGACGGCGGTCTGAGAGCCCATGGCAGGAATGCTGATGGTGGCGATGTTCCAGACCTTGCCGCCTTCGCTGGAGGTTAGACCGGTGTATGTGGCGCCCGCGCCGGTTGCGATGGTGTCGCCGAAACTGGTGTCCGCCTCACGCAGGGTAATGGTGGTGTTGAGATACAGCTGGTCTGCTACAGTGCCGGTGCAGTCGCTGTCGCATTCGGTACCGGTGCCATAACTAGCAAGGATAGCAAACACGATTAGTATACTAATTAAGGTCCAATTATTAGTACTGGTGGACCTACCCAGTCATGTAGGGACCAGCAGCATAAGAGTAGCTGGACAGAGCAGCGCCCGTCAAAGCATTGGTGACATTCTGGGTCCAGGTCTCTCCATCCGAAGCGAGGTTGTACTCGATACGAACGTGGTCGTTGGCACTGACGGGCGAGCCAGTACCATCCAGTTGTCCAAACGAGCCGAAGATGCTGGCGCGCACACACCACTGGCCCGTGGTGGCACCGCACCAGGAGTTGCTTGGCCAACTTTCGAGCGTGGTCTGGATGAGGTCGCCAGTTCCGTTGCTCATTCCTGGCCAGAGGAATAGCTCGCCATTCTGGGTGGCGGGAGCGACTCCGGGAATGATTGTGGTGACGGCGTTGATGATGTCGGACTTGGTCGGGCCCAACGAGACACTCCCTCCCCAGGAGTCCCGCTTGGCGACCTTGGTGGAACTCTGTAGAGCAGCAGGCAGAACGGCACCGAGAGCGACGGAGGGAAGAATGGCAAGGGTGCTGAGGACGTGCATGGTGAGCGCTTTGCCAAGTTAGTTGGTATACAAAGAGTGAATGTAGAATCGAATGATGATAATGAATGGAATGCTTGAGGCCACCAGTGCCGTCAGAACAAGAGAACGATAAGATACAGAGAAGAGAATGATAGGCAGGTAGCTTTCCGAATGAGGACAGGGGAGAAAGCTTCCTTTATATGAAGTCCAGGCCATGGTTTCGGTTCTCTCGGAATTGAGGCCTCTAGTCAAATGTCGGTTTCAGGCTAAGGCGAGGGCTGAAACGCCCGCCTGGAGGACATCCGGAACCCGAGCCAATAGGAGGCAAACGCCAGTAATTCTATGCTCTCAACCTTGCCTCGTTTGGGCTGTCATTTCCTGTCATTTCCGATTAGGGGAAAGTTACTGCTTCATCTAGAATGTGTATGGCTTCATAGTACTCAAGGTCCTCGGCAGCTGCACCGCAAAGCTGATCAATGTATGTATTCCCCTTTTCCAACTCGCTAGTAAGAGTGTCCATTCTCTAAAAATATCTGATTGTTTAATACTGCTTCGTAGGGCTTAGTGTCTAATTCCATGGACAGAAACAACAATGTCAACAAAACCCGAAATTCGAATTGTATTTTGTGACTAACTACTAACAGCACTCAATGTTTGATTCGTTCTGGG